ACAGAACTGGCTATGTTCATGAACAAAAGATCCTTAGGCGACTATTGACTCTTTAACACGACACTAAGGCTCTCCAATGAGGTAAAGTATCTAGGAGTAACCATAGACTTCAAACTGAACTGGGGATCACACATAGACAAAATTACTACGAAGACCAACATAATTTTCTGGCAATGTCGGAAAATGATTAGCAAAACTTGGGGACTATCACCATTCATTGTTACAACGACAATAATTAGGCCCATCATCAGCTATGCAGCAGTAGTATGGTGGACCAAGACTATCCAGGTAACGACAAATAATAAGTTAAGACGTCTCCAGAGGCGGGTCTGCTGTGCAATCACCGGCTGCATGAAAACCTCTCCCACATCAGCACTGGTAGTCTCCAGTGCCATACTTAATGTGTGACCACTCCAGCACGCACGGCGTGCACGGCACACGCCTAAGCATGCTGGGGCTATGGAGGGACAACAACTCCCCACATACCAGTATCTTAGCAGACATACATAGGCACTTTCCGTACTTTTCAGCAGTAAACGACCTTATTCCTAAGACGTACGTATTCGACAAAATATATAAAATACAACTGTATGAAAACACTGTGACTCCGGACCGTTGTTTGCATAAGGAGCTACGGGTCTACACGAACGGTTCAAAAACCAACCGTGGGACAGGTTCGGGTATCTCCTCCGAAGACCTAAATATACACATCTCAACAGCATTGGCAGAATATAACACGGTCTTCCAGGCAGAGTGTGTGGGCATCATTAGAGCCGCAGAGGCGATAGACTGTCGCGGGGTAACAGGAAAACATATTCGTATTCTCTCTGACAGCGCTTCTGCCCTACAGGCACTGGACAACAATATAATGACATCAGCCTTAATTTATGAATGCCACTGTAAGTTATTAATATTTGTAATGACAATAGCCTGACCTTACAATGGATTAAAGGACACAGCGGCTCAAGTGGTAACGATGCGGCGGACTGCTTGGCTGGAGAAGGGTCCAGCAGGACGGCCATTAGCCCGGAGCCAATTGAACCCATACCTTATCGACAACTGAAAACCTGGATATGGGAGCGTTGTCAACGACAACACGACGAATATTGGGCAAAACTCACTGGCTGCAGGCAAGCTAGGGAAGCCGTTCCTGAGGTAAACCAGCAGCTATCACATAAGTTAAGTCTACCTAGACAAGCCCTAAAACAAATCGTGGGTATACTCACGGGTCACAGCTATTTCAACAAACACCTTTATAATATAGGTATTTCTGACAGCCCTCTGAGCAGAGCCTGCCTGGAGGAGGAGACGAGCGCCCATGTTCTGCTGGAGTGCAGAGGCGTTGCAAGACAAAGAATTTCTCTTATGGGAAGCCCGCGACACTAGTGGAAGCCTGCCTGCCTGCCTGCCTGCAGCTTTCTGGAGGAGCTAGGATGGCAGGACTGATGCCAGTCCCCACACAAAATAGGCGCTGGGTGTCGAGTTACGGAAACAGTCCGCCGTACTACTAAGACTAAGACAGATGGACATGACAATGGAGAATTTTCACACTTTGTATAAGAAACCTGAAAAATATTCATGCAAGGATTGATAGGTATAGATTTATTTTCTTAACTTTGTAAGTCTTCGTACTTTTACATAATTTATGAATGACAAAGTAGACAAAGATGCAGTCTTTTACGAAAAAGCAAAAAAGACAATTATTTATGTTAATAAATATTATGATTATACACCTAAGAGTACAGTTAATGGATTCGAAAGAAGATATTCATCGTTATAAATTATTCACATAAAACATACGGTAAGTAATATTTTTCCTGCCATTTTGCCAAACCTGTCTCGTTTGCTAAAACATCACTCACTGAATAAACAAATAAAAGCTTTGTCATTTAAATTGTACATCTATCTGCCGTACGCTTTAACTCGAAGAAACAAGAATAAAACACTTTGATGAATTTTAAGTGGGGCAACGACTACTACGACTAGGTAATATTTTTAAAGTAAAATATGTTCAAACAGAGTAAAGGACTCCTCCATATTATTCCAATTTGCTTTCACCTCTGTATTTGCTTTACTTATCTTTAATACTTTCATGCTATTAACTTTATCACAGACCTTTTATTCTCTATTTCGTAATGGTAACATTAAACTAAATAAATTGATATTTAATTATAGGAGGATGTCAGTGTTACTAACACTAGTTACTTAGGAATTCCCATTTCTGTATCCTAGCTATTAGCATCTCAACTAACCTACAGGTTGCTGTAATTGGTTATGGTTGGGTTTGGGTTGTGTTAAGTACCTACTTACCAGCCAGGGTCTGTACTCTTAAAATCGATAAATCTTGGAATTTATCGTGTCTTATCCTGATCTATGACATCAAAACTATGTATATTTAAAAAAATATGAATATTATGTTTAAATCTAAAGAAAATTTTACTAGAAAAAATTCCACGCTGACCAGGCAGCAGACGGGATTCAAACCCGCACCTTCCGCTATCTGGGTGGATCCACTGACCATTATAGAACCGCGGCCCTAATTGTCCGTGTCGAATTTTCTGTAGTATTTCTTAGACTGCAAGGCAGCGCCACCTTTTCGCATTGTAGGTAACCCACAATGTCTAATGAATACCTTAACAAGTATTAAGCATTTGAAAGAAGATATAGGGATTATATTTTTATTAGGACCGCGGTAGCACAATGGTCAGTGCATCCGCCCGCATTTATGGACCGTACTCAAATTATTACCGTATATTCTCGATTATTTTATTCTAAAGCGAGTAAAAATTAATGCGTCGCGTCCTACGAACGAGCCTTCGAGTTATGAGTTTTTCAGTCCACGCGTTGATTTTTACTCGCCTTAGAGTAAAACTATCGAGTAATGCGGTATGTGAGTAGGCGGACCTTTAGAATAGGGTAGACGTTAGACAATAATGACGTTCACGGTATGCAAGTTCTTTTCCCTTATAGGATTACCTTATAGGAAGAGGATTTTTAGTATATCACTCATTGATAACGTAACTTGCATGACAATCACCAAATAAACAACCTATAGAAAATAATGTAAAACAATAGGATTCAGGGATGTATTTTTAGGGGTGCAAATTGTAAGTGGCCCGGGGCGCTAGTTTTCAAAATATGCCCCTGCAACAGGTATTAGATGGTCTTTTCATATTATTTCTCTGGGTTTGGATATCTGGTGATTCGAGGGGCATTTTATACATACTCTAGTAATTTCGGAGAGGCGGCGTATGCAGTTAGTTTTCGTTCTTCTCAGCGGTAGACGGTCGATCACTACGTAAATAATTCATTACTGAATTCACAAGACTGCGTTAACGTTCGTCAGTCTATCAGATTTAAACTTGACTTGCATGTTATCTACTTTATCAGTAAAAACGTGCGACACCTGAGGCATCATACTACACTTAAATTAAGTTAAGAAAAATTTTTAGGAGCTAATTTCATGCCAATTATTTATACAAGTGACAAATAGATGAAACCAACTACATTTCAAAACCTGGGAGTTTCATTTTAAGATGTCATAGCAAGGTTTTCAATATTTTTACAGCTGATTAAATACTAATTACCTTATATTCCTGAAACTTTTAATACGCCCAATGTATTTCTATTAGCAATTAGGTAGTTATACTGATGAAAATTATCATTGAAAATAAGTAGGAGCTTTCTCATACTTGAAAAGCTCGATGGCGCAATTGGTTACTTGTGATGCATTAGACCTGCGATTGTGCAACTTAAGCAATTTTCGCAATGGCCGGTCATTGGGCGGGTATGTTAAAATTAAGTTACTCTAACTTCTACGTGCTTCGAAATGCCATACCTGGACTGCATCTGAAGTCATTAACATCCATCCGTGGAGCACCCCATGCATTCATTAATCCGCACTGGATTTGAGTGGGTCATGGCCTAACCTCCCCCTATTCCATTCATGGGCAAGATTTGTGCCCCAGCAGTGGGGACATTGATAAACTGATGATGAATTCCCATAGCAGGACTTGACTAATACCAGTAGGTACCCTTAGCATGGACTAATATCGCACTTTTCATGAACCTTGTGAAAGTAAACTTTAAGTAACATTCTTTGCAGAGCAAAAAGCATAAGGTAGTGATAAACGTCAAATTAAAAGGTATCTCGATAGGTATTATAGGCATATTTAAGAAACGGCTTTTTCGGATATTGATTTATTCCCGTAGAGAGCTTAGGGTATGGAAAATAAGGTCAAAGCTGTGTTAATAAAACTGGCAAGGGTGGTGCTTGTGAGGCACGTAACTCTACGCTCAATAACTACCTACGCCACGGTCTCCAATCACACTTAACATCAAGTTGTGAAGTGTAGGTAATTTTCTACAACCTCTATAAAAACGCACACGAAGGGTTCCGAACCATCGCATCGATTACAAGATTATAACGATAATGATTAGACGTACGCATCAGACAACTTATTACTAGGACATATTTTATTAATCTTTTTACAGTAGCTTGTTCAAGTTCAAATCACCTGTGCGAAACTTTCTTCGTGAAATGAAACCATTAAAAATTTTATGAAAAGTACATTTTAACGTATAAATATATTTGCGGCAGGAATAAAATAAACAGTAACTTCGAGGCTTTTCAGTCGGTTGACTAGTTAGATAAGGAAAAGATAAATAAACCATACGTTATTTTCAATATTTTTTATTTTTTAATACGAAATACATTACTTAATCATCTATCAAGAATCATTTATGGCATCACAGATTATATAAAATACTTTTAGCACCTTAATTTTATTAGCGTATGTTGAATAAAGTAAAGAAAATACACTTTTACTCTTTTCATAATTTACAATCATTACCATCAACATATATAAAAACATTAAAGCTTTTTTAGAATTTCAATAATTATATTTATGTGTCATGAGCCAAATTAAATATCATACCAACGCACATTATTTCTAGCGCACATTATCATTAATACAATTTACACTAAACTTATTTTATATTTTCTATAATCTTATTGATGATGATAGCCACCGAAAATTGATTGAGCGAATTTCCCGAAATATTGAATGGGGGGAAAGGATGGACCCGCCAAAGGCACTGGTTGAGGACCCTGGACCAGAACCTTGGGACTTTGCTGGTAAGCCTGCACCTGTGGCAGTTGATGTTGAATTTGAGGATATATAACTCCAGGTCTGAAGTATGAAATCTGTCTCCCACTGTTTACTGGCAGGGATTTCGTAGATGCTGCAGATATACTTTCTTGAGTAGATTTAGAATGTTCATTTTGAGGGTTTTCTAACTGAACTTGTTGATTCTGGTATTGAATTTGTGTTTGGATTTGTAGAGGTTGAATTTGAAGTAGTTGCTGTTGATGTTGCTGTGGTTGTTGCAGCTGTACACGGTAAAGCTGCTGTACTTGATACTGAGGCTTGGGCTGGTATTGTACAGATTGCTGAAGACGTTGTTGCGCAAAATTTGGCTGTGGCTGGTTCTGTGAGAAACTTGCGTAGCTTACTGCTCCTTGTGGTTGGGCACTGTGATTCTGTAGATAAAAAATTCAATAATAAATGTATATTTTTATAGAAGCTTTTAAACTTTAGATAGTAATAACATGTATTCATATAATATCCATACATATATGTATAGTATAAAGCGGCGCAGGACCAATCGGTGTGGAGGTCATTGGGGGAGGCCTAAGCTCAGCAGTAAGCAGCGTACGGCTGATATGATGTAGGATGATATTTTATGATGATCCGTACTTAAACGAAAATACATAATATGTTTTAATGCGATAGTTTTTCTGTGCGTTGCCTATCTCCCTGCTTTCATGTTTAACTTTGATTTAATTAAAACTTGATTTAACCTAAAGAAAAATTACAAAACGGCAATGTCACTTTGACATTATGGTATTAGCTAAATCTAGTTTTAGTTCTGATTTAGAAAAGTTACTGCAAGTGGACCTAAGCTGCAAAACCAAGAGATAAAACGGACCTTAGATGAGAGAAGAACAGTTGGCTACTTATTGTCGCGAAAATTAATCTTGAGGGGAACAAAAAAGGGGAGCATAGTTTGTATAGAAAACCCAAAATTCTACACAGTAGAAGTCGAGAAAGATATAGAAGGGATATTCATTAACAATATGAGATACAACACGAAAATGTGTTGTTAATTCAACGAATTAGACAAATCAATAAAAATAAAAGTTATTCCAATGAAATAACTAGCAAACCTTCTCTGTTAGGACGCAACTAACAATACGAGTACTAAACAAAATACAAACAACCTACAACAACATTAACAAAGAAAATATATATTTTTTAAAGTAGGTAAGTTTTGTACCTCTTCTTGTTGCGAAATTTGATTTTTTTCAGCAGATTGCTCTTGCTGCGCTTCCAACTTAGATTCTCGTTGGGTGGCTTGTTCCTGTGACTGTCTGGGTTCCTCAGGAACATACGTATTTCCTGGTTGAGCAGGCACAACTTGCACTAGATTCTGTTCTTGCGAATAAATTGGTTGCTGTATATATTGCTGCGAGGGTTCTGCGTTTTGAATATACTGTACAGGTCTCTGAATTTGGATAGGAAACTGAGGAATCTGTCGATAAATAGGTTGTGATACTAATTGCTGCTGATGAGCGTATAGTGCTGGCTGTGGCTGAAATAATATTTGTTGGTAAGGTTGTTGGAAATTAATTGGTCGAGCAAAGTTTGCCTGCTTGGGGGTCTGTAGTTTCTGGTTGTATTGTATTGGTTGACTGTATTGTATAGCGTTCTGTGGCGGTTGGTACGATATCTTGTGTTCGGAATAGGCTAATTGCGATGCTATCGGGCGGGATACTTCGTAAGTTGTCGGGGCACCGAGCTGCAAACAAAGTTGTTTTGATGAGAAGATAGTTGCTAATGTTTTTAACGGTATCATAGTAAATAAAATTGTTTTTGTATTCATTTGGCATGTTCTTTTTTGTATTTTATAATTTAGTAGAAACTGGAATTCGTTATGAAACTTGGGGGTGGTTTAAAAATTTATTAAGCCATTATAAAAAGTGTAGGTCTATTCACAGCATTTTTTCCAGATGACCAAAATATTTAAATATAAAATACGAGCGTCTGGTGCTGTCACCTAGGCGGCCATAACTTACCCGCGTTTGGTAAACGGACACAGGGGCGTAGAGGTGGCTAGCAATGGCCGCTTGGAAGGGCGGTCCTTGCCCTGTCAGCACATCAGAAATCTTGGCTATTTGCGGCAAAGGAGTCGCGTAGATTTGCTGAAACAAAAGAAGACTTTGTGTTACGAACTGAAGATGCAAATTCAAACTGCACGAGATAACGGTAAACAGGAGATTATTGCAAACTGGAGACTGGAGTTTTCTATTTATTTTGGTACTTGTTTCTAAGTCATGCTTTGTGATTTTATCGCTTGTTGAACGTAAAACTGCCAAAATTAAGAAATAAATTAGTTATTAAGCTAGGCATTTCCATCTAAATTAGATACCTAATGTTATTTTTTTCCTCCTCTGGAAGCACTGGCAAAAACTCAAATTTACTTTTTATATTTTTTTATTAAACAACGGCTCAGACAATGAACGCCCAGTAAGCATAGTTCACCAACACTATTAATATGACACAGAATAAACGGAAACTACAAGTATGCGGATAAACCAAATTCGATTATTTTTACATATAAAGAATTCAGGGTCCAGTGTCGTAATAAAATAACAGGAGAGATACAAAGTACTAATAGTCCTTTGCCACGAAAACTTAGGCAGCAAATTGTGAAGACATAAAGCTCCGTACAATCGGCATTGTTATCGTTTCGGCAGTATTGCCTGAAATTCCAGCCTTATCCAAACGAAATAAAGTACAGTTACGTTTAAAGCTCGCTTGTATCCCGCTATCAAATGTGTGCCAGAAGTGTAGGTAACTACAGTAAAACACACTTTAGCTTATATTGCCCCACTAAAAAGCTCCTGAGGTAAATTTAGCCTTGAATGGGTGCGAAAGGGTCGCCAATAAATATAAAAAAGTCATGACTTGAGAAGAAGGCTGGTTACGTAAAAAAGTTTTCTTGAAGCTAACCTGGCTCGCAGTGGAATCGTCTAATTTTCTCGAGGCTAAAATAAAATTCGAAACTTCCGCAGTGATATTGCTATAGCTAAATTAATTCTTTGTTCTTTTTCCCAATGAAATTAAAGGTAATCGTTATATAAATTTGGAATGAATCTTTCGTAACCCCTTTTAAAAAGCGTAATGGTGATCATAGGGGAGCTTAAGATTTTTCCGTAAAAAAATATGGAGAAGGAGTGCTTATAATATGTATTTTATTTAAATCTAAAGAAAAGTTTACTAGAAAAAAATCCACGCGGACCAGGCAGCGGGCGGGACTCGAACTGGTCCGCGTGGATTTTTTTTCTAGTAAACTTTTCTTTAGATTTAAACATCTAGCAGTTAAATGCTTAAAAATAAATAAAAACATAATGTATATTATTATTATAATGCATTATAAACACATGAAATGAATCAAAAGGTGTGGTTTTATGAAACCACGGTGCAAGAGAAACTATACAAGTATTTGTACCTTTATGTTCTTCCTTAAAATGTGGATAATAAAAAAAATCCTTCCTCGGCTGGGAATCGAACTCTGGCCGCCCGCGTGGCAGGCGAGCTTCCTACCACTGAACCACCGATACTTGATGATAAACTTAAAATTTTTAAATAACCAATAGAAATGGAATGCGACATGCTAAAATTGAACGAAAAAATTTGTAGCGATGTAATAAACGTTTCACTTTCATATTCACTGAACGATTTATAGAAGTATTCTATTTGATAGAAAACAATGATTTACGATGTAAGCTCTTCAAGAAAATAATTTAGATTGAGGCTAATAGGCGATCACTAATTTACCGAGGGAAGCCAGTCATAAAAAATCTCATAAACACGACTCAAAAGTGAAGGATCACAAACACTTTAGGACAATTTTTCGTAATTTTATTCTTGAAAGTCTGATAGGCAAAATTGGACCAAAACCTGAGTTAAAGCCTTTGGAATTTTATATTTGAACTAGTGTGTGATCGCGACTTCATCTGCGTGGAAATATTAGTTCCCCATACAAACATTGAACCCTTTAGAGGTAGAATTTTGGAAAATCCTTTCTTAGTGCACGCCTACATCATAATACTATACTATACTTGTATATGTGTCAAATTTTAGCGCAATCTGTTCAGTGGTAGAGCTGGGCGTTGATAGATCAGTAAGTCAGTAACGGTTACCTTTTTTACATACCTACATTACGTAAAGTAGCACAGAAACTTTAAAGAAAAGGAAGAAAGAGGCATGGGATGGGAGAGACATGGGTATAGTATCTGTCGTTTGATGCGATCGAAAGTGTGAAAATGTGTGTATGCTTTACAGCAATATCACTTATCGAAGCTTTAGCATGCCCTACGGTTACCTGTTTCCTGTGAAACTGTAAGTCAGCACTTAAGTAAGTTTCGGCCTTAATACGACTACTTGTACATTTTGAAAAATGGCCCTACTGAAGAAAGGTTTGACAGCTTTAATATTGCGTGATCAGCATATTGTGCGGTAGGGAACTTAAATCTATGACTTTTGTTCAATTCAGGTTGTTATTGAAAAAAAAGAAGGGACGGAGAAAACATTATTGTATAAATACTCCCGTAATTTATACCTTCTTCAATGATGTAATTTAGTCTTGTTTTGGTATAAGATTTTATTTAGATCAATAGGAACAGGTTAGCAGGTAATCGTACATGGTGCCGTTCCGAACTAGCTAGTGCATTGACAGACCCATACTAATATAATAAAAGCGAAAGTGTATCGGTCTGTTACCTCTTCAGGCTTAAACCGCTGAGACGATTTACATAGGTATAAATGTAGTTTGAGTCCCAGGAAAGGACATAGGCTAGTTTTATTTCAGAAATCACCCTTTAAGTGGTTGACAATGGGTTGGAAGTTAGTATGGTAAATAATAATGTATAGATATAATCTTTCCTCGTATGGGAAATCAATTGGACTACACAGACGAAGTCGCGGGCAACCACTTTTTTACTCTATTATTTACACGAGCTTATTAGCTATAACTAATGTTATATTCTTCACTGGTTCTCTCATTATAATGTTTGATCTAGAATACAAAATTCACAATAATCTTCAAACGTTAATTTTATAGAGTAACTTCATCTAAAGTTCAGAGAAGCGGCCTACTTTGCGTTTAAAGTGTTACTTTATCCGGGATTTTCACAATTTCCAGGTAAAAGTCACTTGACATTCAAAACTCTTAAAACTTTACTAATAAAGAAATCTAAAGGCCACTTAAAAGCTCTTATAAATCCTGAACGAGTATCCAAATTGTCTTCTCCAGTTGTAAAGTTGCCAACGATTTGGCTCGAGATCGCTGTGAAAACGGGGGTTTTTCTTACTGTGGACCGCAATAACTAGGAGGATATGCCATTTTCCCATTTACGACGTCCATAGGCCTGCCTGATCTAATGCAAAGGGATTATGACGCAATTTAGTACCATTCACACGGAACGCTAGGGCGATTTTCGCTTTTGCATCAATCACTATTCATAAAAGTAACGTTTTATTAAAGGGGATAATTTAGCATTTATTGGTGTTTTGTACAGTATCAAATGACTTGAACACACTTTTCCCTTATATGATTTAACATTTTATTGGTAAATCAAGTAATATTTTTTATGAAAGCGTCTTACATACATTCTGACGGCAACACCAAACAAGTAAAATGGTATGTTTCTTATCTGTATTAAATAATTAACATTTTATTTATTTTTATCAATAAAATCTGGTTCAAAACATGAATTCCCTTTTTTTCAATAAAAATACTGAGGGACAGTTTTTATAGGCATCAAAATTACGATTTGTTTTCTATATAAAAATATACTTTTGGTCCAGTAATCAGATCTTGTATCTACTCCTTCATTAATGTTTAGCAAATAGGGACAATCTTCACACAGTTTCTTATTGAATAATCTCAGTTAACTGTAGGTATGCTGCTAAAACTGGTACAAAATCTATAAGTAGAATAAACTGTCAAAATGAATGTGAAGATATTAGCAATAAGGTTCTCGGATTTATTATAATTGTTCTGATCTCATATGTACATGTGTACCGAATTCTGCGAGATAATATATGGGTGAAAACAAACACAGCCCCTTAATGAATGTCACAGTCGTCTCGTAGTAATTTTCTCGAGACGAAAATGTAACAGCTTCTGTATAAGCAGTAAGTATTGGATTTTCTTGTAACTGTTACACTGAAGGCTTTAATGGAATATGAAGAATCATTTATTGAATGAACATTAATCAATGTTGTAGTCCCAACTCGAATAAATAGTGGAATCAAATTAATATAATTACGATATAGTCTTTAACTCATAAAGATAATTAATTATAAGTACGTATAAGTTAGCTTTCATAATTTTTCCATGACATAGGTATGTATCTTTTCATAGTTCAGTGTCAGGAGTGGTTAAAGTAAAATGAATTCTGGACTATTCAGAAGAGGGTATATAAACAAATATTTCCAATACTCACACCAATTAGCCTAGCCCCAAAGTAAGCACTGTAGGTTTTTGTAATGGGATACTAGGGTAACGGATAGAATACATATACTGATACATATATAAGTATTTATATATACTCGTAAGTACATATTAAACATCTATGAGTGGAGTACAAATGATCGTATTCATCACACAAACACTGTCCCCACCGGGATTCGAACCCGGGACCTCTCGCGTAGGCGACACCTTGAAACCATACCACACCGTACATACTACTCGGCCACGGAGGTCGTCAATATGGATAATATTCTTATGGTTTCCATTTAAATAAAAAAAAATAGTTTTGTTTTTATATATTTATCATCCGACTAATGACAAATTCCTCCCTTCAACATAATCTTATTAATCTACATTCTGCTGGAGCACAGGTCTTCACTGTGGACAGAGCAAATAGGGAAGCGTTCTGAGTTAATTGGAAAAGCAATGTGATAAGTTGATAAACGATTATTTATTTTAACTATCTCATCGTTCCTGGAGGCCTACTCTTATTCAACAAGAAACGAAATGTCGATCGAAACTTACGTTTCTTACTAGTTTTTTTAATGGTGTCTAATTATAATAATATTAGCGGACGCCTGCAACTTCGTCCGCGTTAATTTTAGTTTCACGAAAATCCCTTAGGAACCTTACACTTTTCTGGGATAAAAAGTCAGGTCATAA